TGTATCTGTATCTGTATCTGTATCTGTATCTGTATCTGTATCTGTATCTGTATCTTTATTTCTATATGTATTTATTCATCTTTCTATATTTGTATATAAATCTGCTATTTTGGTATCTCTACATTCCAGAGGAAGCTAATAGGGCGAACTATCAGGTGTTGGGCACCGATTATGAATCGTTTGCCGTTGTCTATAGCTGCAGCAGTCTGACTCCGTTTGCCCATTTGAGTAAGTATGCGGAAGCCCAACGGCTTAGGCCAAATTTGGCGCTGCACGTCCCGCCTTGGCTTTGGCTAATTTGGCATGCAAAACAGACGAATCAGTTATTGCATTTGGCATAATTATGTTAATGCAGCTGCATAATTAACTGGCCAATGGTCAACGAGGGACGCATTGCTGAACACGTTAATTACAATCATGCTCATTTGCTCATTGCAGAAATCGTCTGGATATTGACGCGCCAGCGCGAGCCCACCAAGGAGACCATCGAGACAGCGTACAAGGTGCTGGACGATAATAAGATCAGTCGCGCTGTCCTCATCAAGACCCACCAGAAGCACTGCCCCCAACTGGAGGGCAATGGCACCGAGGTGGCCTCCACTCAGCTCCTGGACGAAGACTTTGTCAGCAATGCGCTGCCAAAGGCCATCGAGACAGCATGAGAGTGGCTAAGGCGCTTCAATGAGCGTCTTTTCGATATATTCATGAACTTCTTAAACGATTAGCTAACAGTACGAATATAGTATATTCCTAACATATACTCAAACAACTATATATGCATGATTTAAAAAAAAAAAAAACAAATGTTAATTAATATGCACAAAACTTATAATTAATTAATAACTTTAATTATTTAAATGTTTGATTAGCAGCTCCTTTACGAATGTTCATAATATATTGTAAATACGTTCTTTAAAAAATAAGAAAAACAGAATGAAATGTTATAAATGTTTAAAAACTGTTCACATAAAATAAATGCAAAATAAAAAAAAAAAAAAATAATAAATAAATAAAAATAAATATTTATACATATAATTTTAAGTTTCCTATTATTGTATCTTTTAATTTTATTTAGATTTAATTTAACTCTTGGTTTTTAAAAATTGTTGATGTGTAGACAAAAGCATCTATAAATTGTTTAAAATATTTTTTTTAACATATTTTATAATTTAATTTTTTATTGATATCGATTTTCATTCTTTTTGAGATGAATTTTTCAGTTTGGATCCACAGAACCAGGTATTATTATTTAGCTATACCGAATCGATACTTCAAGCAATAGAGCATATCAAATTCGATTTTAAGAAAAGTCTCGTATTTATATTGCTTTCCGTCAATTCGCATTGAACAGTTGTGTCTCAGCAAACATGTTGAATCAAGTGCTTTACATGTATGTAAATACTCGTATCAGTGTAATATATATTTATAATTATATGTTCAGCAGCTCGGTGATATTGATGCTCTCGCTTGGCAGTCATGCACTGCCCGTGAAGGTCTCAAAGGGAGCGTGCCCGAAGAACATGACTGCCGTTGGAGACTTGAATATGAAAAAGTATGTCGGCATATGGTATCCACAGCTTACGTATCCATTATATCTTAAAGCAATGCCCAAATGTGTTAAGTATAATGTCACAAAGAGCACAGGCAATAAATATTTAATTCGAAGATCGGATATCGACAGCAAGTAAGTGAGCCTCAATCGAGCTGTACTGTAAGGATAGTTAAATGTTTTAATCCTAAATGTAGAAGTGGCAAGGTGCGTCGGCGATCTACATTGATACTGAGAGTGGATCGAAAGGGAGGCAAATACACAATAAAAACGAATAGTAAAGCCCTTAGATAGAAAATGCAAAAACAAAGAGTAACTCATGAGAATATGTTTCTTTAGAGTCACCACACGGCTTCAATATATTTGTGCTGGACACGGACTATAAAACCTATTCAATTCAGTACGGGTGCATAGAACTGGGAGGCATCATAAATATAGGTAAGCGTGGGCTTGTTCGCTTATTGGTGGAAATAGAAACCTGAACGGCTTGTGGATTCCAGTATATGTTATCATAATGACACGCGACCGATTTCCGAGCTCCGAAGTGATTCAGAGGACTCAAAAATTGGCCAAACTCTCTGGAATTGATCAGAAAACTATGGTACCCATTTTACAGAATGGCTGCCCGATCGATGTGTAACAGATATTGGGCCAAAAATGCATCATTAAATACCCTTAACAAAAGATTCAAGCTTGTTTCTGTTCAAGTCTTATTGAAGTAAAACGTCTGACTTTCTTATCAATTAGCTAAAGTCACGCTTAAACATCTCTGGAGAATTAATTAGGTAAAGCGAATCAGCACTGTCCGACATATGACATATATAGTATGGCATAATGGAAAGCTAAAGCGAAGCATTTTGGTATAAAGGTGGACAGTAAATAAGGTGTTGTGTAGTGCGCTAGTTCAAACGGGGCAAATATTATTATATTATATTTTTATTAAATATTATTATATTAAATTTTTTGTTAGTTATTATTATAGCATTTCTTGTTTATCACTGTTAAACAAAAAAAAAAAAAAAAAA